ATACGTCACCATTAAATTTTAGCCCTGGATATATTCATAGGATAACGTAAACAGAACTGTATGAGTATTGAGAGGGAGGAAGAAAAAACATGCTTGCATGCACACAGCTCATCCGCTCTGTATTTGCGTTACTCGTGTTTGCTTGTGCAAGTGTGCTGTGGTAGGGTAAGCTGTTGAGTCTGTTGTTGCATACCAGCTCTTTCCTTAAAGCAAGACTTTTTGGGCAAAAGAGTTTCTCCCAAACTTCAGAAAGTTAAGGTTTCTGTTCTAAAGACTATTGCTGGATCGCAGTTGTCTAGACTGGTTGTGGATGCAGATGATCCATGCCGAGTTTTCCAAACCGTGGGTGCTATGCAGAAGCATTATTGCCAAGGTAGAGATGGGGAATTATGGCGTTTATTGCCAAAAAGGATTCCTCCTCCTTGTGAGAGGAGGAGGAGGGGATCGGAGGCTGATCATAGCTGTACAGTAGCTCAAAGAAGTGCTTTCTGTGATGACAGTATTTAAGCAAACTAAGCTTGTGAACCCATCTTGACTCACTTATGGTACAATTCTTGCTCAGTTTCTCCCACACCGACCTCCATTCCGCAAAGAAGGAATTCTTTTGAGAAGAAGGTAGCAGTACACTTTATGAGGGCCTCAGGTGAACGTTCTCAGAGGTAAAGTATTTGTAAGTCACAAAGGCAGCAATAGGAAACTAACTTTGGGCTGCAACTTGAAATGCAATATGCAATAAAAAGAAATTCAGATAGCCGTGCTACCTTAGTTCTATGTAGCTCAGTATCATGAGATGATAAAACTGTCAGTTTACCAGAAACGACTTTTCTAAACTTTTTGTCTTGGAATCCCTTATTCTAAATTTTGTAGTTGTTTGACTATAGCTAATTTCCATTCTATAGGAAAATGGATTATGTACATTAGCATTAATATGATAACGTGCATCTGGGGAAGCAAGTAGGAATCAGTATTCTGTGAGGGATATTACGTAACTGCCCTCTTTCTTCTTCCATCTATATCAGTTCGTTTTTGAATGAAGTTTCAAAGTGTGATCACTCCTAGTTTAGGTGCGTAGTAAGGTTAGTGACAGAGGATGCACTTAATGGATCGTGAAGGCTCTAATCAGTTCAACGCAACACCGTTTGATCAGTGAGTGGCTTTGATTTTTGGCCTTTGTGGACATCTGTGGTATCCCAAATCTTTTTGCAGGGAAAAAGCTTTAAGGTGTTTTTAGAAGGTCAGGAATTGCAGGTGTGACTGTAGTGTTCGTTTGAAGTGTTTGTATGTACCCTCAATTGGATCTAAATAACATCTCTCTAGAATTCTCTTAAAATTATACTACTTTTACTGTCGAAGAACTTAATTGATTCTATTTATTCCAGGCAGCTTTCCAGATTTGAAAGTGTGCAGAAACACAAGCTGCCAGCTGTACTTCAGAACTGTTTCTGTTTACATTTTTGCTTTCCAAATCCAAACCCTGGAGGCGTGCTTACATGTACAAGTAAAATGAATGTGCACACAGAATGAGTATATACACAGTTCCAGCAAATGTCTGTTTTCCAATTTAAAAAGAAAGTTGCTGCTTTGGTGCAGTTGCTCTAAAAAAAGTGATTTGTTGATTGGAGTGTCCCTTTGGCCTATTTGTAGCAGTCTTTAAAGAAATAGTATTGAGTTGGCTTCTAACACTTGAATTTTTTTAAAAAGCCAGGGGTTTAAATTTATTTTGAGAAGACACCCATCCAAAAGGACTTAGTTCATATCTCCTCCACCCCTGCCCTCCATCTCTTTGTTAGTAATTGTTGGTGGGGAGGGAGGAAAAATTTGCTCTGGAACCACAATCTGTGAAGTTGAACTGGCTCAGCGGTGCTGCAGTCCTGCTCTGGCCCCTGTGTAGGCCCTGGTGTTCGTCGGACTCCGTAACGAACCCGGTGAGACAGCTAACACTGGAGAAGCTAACTCAGGAAAAGGAAAAAATGCCTGGTTTTCTTTCAATTGCATCCATCTGACCCTGTAATGAGCTGGTTCAGGGAGCACCAGTGCCAGCGTGATGAAGAATAAGAACTTCTGCTTTGGGCAAGGAGGCGATAGGATCTTACAATCGCTAATTCAGAGAAGCCTAAACAGGACTGTGGAACTGAATTTAAAAGCCTGCTGGAATAAACTCAGTCTGTACTGTGAATATTTAATGTGACCATAGGCCATTTATATTTTCATTGTCTGTCTGCGTGGACAGAAAAGTTCTTACAATTGCACGTTCTTATTTTGTTTGTTTGTTTATTTTTTATTCTGATAGATGCCTTAACAATAATGTGTTTCTGCCTATGCTCGTAATTAAGAAATGTAAATAAAAGCGTGTGATTCAGCTTTATGGGGAGGGACTCTTTTTTAAGCTTTGGCTGATCCAAAAGATGCTATTTAACCTTCTGTCTGTTTCTTTTTATAACTGAAAATAGTCATCAGTAATTCAAAATTCTCCAAGTTGCTCTGAATGGTGTTATTTTAGTTCATTTGTGAAGTTTTGTAGTGGTAAGCTTTCCAAGTTTGGCTCTTTATATGCACTGTGAATGTGCTTAGAACTTTCCGTTTCAGCATTTGCTCACTGAGACTGTTACAGTGCTGAGGAAAGTAAAATAGCTTCTTTAGAGTCTATGTTCTTTTTAAAAAGAAGTCAGTCCTTTACAGTAGCAAAAATACTTCTAAATATGCATGAGGTTTGAGTGGGAAAGCATTTTTCTAAACCAGCAGTGACACTTTAGAGCACAGTCGCTATTCAGAATTCGTTAGGAAGCGGTGGATTTGGGAAAATATCATTGTCGTTCTGATGCTTTTTAAGAACTCGAGTGTGGCAAAAGCAAGTACTGGAGATATTAGGAAGAAAACTTTAAATAAATACAAATAATAGAAGCCTGGAGCTGAGAGTCATGACTTTTTCCCCCCAATGGCTGAGCAAAAGGCAAACATAGCATCCTTTCTTCCCCACCGTCAGAGCATTTGGAAAGCTCTGACAAGACAGAAAAGGTTGTGAAGTTAGATTTTATTTTTTCTTTTCTGTTATTGAAGAAGAGAAGCTAAGGTAGAGGGGCATTTGTAAGAGGATTCTTTAAGCAGATGACTAAGAATGATTTTCGCATAGGAGTCTGATAGTTATCCTAGCTCTCTGCTTTCAGAACATTTGGTAGATGGAGAAGGCGTGATGGACTGCTTTTTAGATGGCTGTTGATATTACCTTCTCTCATATTGTAAATGTTGAATTTAATGCAATTATGGGCTAAGTGTAGGTAATGCACTGTTCAAGCTTTGCATAATATATGATGGCCTCTGAGGTAACTTACTACTCAGGAATAGGAACTTAGGTCTATGACGTATATTGTTCAGTGAAAATGTCTGACTGCTCTGTGGCAGTCAGAAAAGCAAATTTAATAGGAATAATTAGGAAAGCAATATAAAACGTTATTATGTCACCGTGTACACGCATGCTCCGTTTGCACCTCCCATATGCTGTGAAGGTGGTTCCCCCTTCACCTTGCAAAAAGGTTATGGTAAAGCTGGAAGAGGTACAAAGAAGAGGGCAAGGATTATCAAAAACATTGAATGACTTGAGCAGAGAGGGACTAACTAGTCTAGGACTATTGTGGGAAAGAGGTGGTTGGGAGTAGTTTGCAGTGCTCTGTGAAGTCAAGAGCGATGGACACAGAAGAGAAGGAACTTTAAGTTCCATTGCAAGAAATCCAGGGCACCTGGTGAAGGTAGCAGCTTTCAGAACAAAGAAAAGAACATATCTTAATATTCAGCTACAATTGTAAGAGGTGCTTAAACGGTTCTATCTGAAATTCCTTGTGACGTTTGTAGTTTAAATGTTAATATCTAAATTTCTTGCTTTTACTTAGGTTTGTTCACACGAATCACTGCTTGAACATTTTCCGTTATAAAGTTATCAGAAGTCTTAAAAAATGCCTCCACGGCCATCATCGGGTGAACTATGGGGCATCCACTTGATGCCACCGAGGATCCTTGTGGAGTGTCTTCTACCAAATGGAATGATAGTGACTCTAGAATGCCTCCGTGAGGCCACATTACTAACTATTAAACATGAACTCTTTAAAGAAGCAAGAAAATACCCTCTCTATCAGCTTCTTCAAGATGAATCGTCCTACATTTTTGTAAGTGTTACCCAAGAAGCAGAAAGAGAAGAATTTTTTGATGAAACACGGAGACTTTGTGACCTGCGGCTCTTTCAACCTTTTCTAAAAGTCATTGAACCAGTAGGTAACAGAGAAGAAAAGATTCTTAATAGAGAAATAGGTGAGATTATCTGTATTTAAACATAGTTCATCTATTTAACTGGTTTCTTCTCGTCAGAATACAAACCAAAGAACTGAATCGGGTTGTATTTGTCAGTTCTTGCGTCCGTAGTCGGCAGAGCTTGCCGTCGGTTGTTGCATCATGTCCAGGGATGCTCATCACCCTAAAGCCTATGTTTGTAAACTGTGAATTAATTTTTTTGCTATTCTAGTTTTCATTCACTTATTCTTTGCTTTTTACAAATTTATAGTTCCATGTGGATTAGAGGGTATTTTTGGCTTTTCTCCTATTAGCAGGATTTCATGCTATTACAGAGCAAAAGCTCGTTGTACCTGCTTTATTGTTTGGGAACTCAATCTTAACTTTTCTTGAACTCTACAGAATTGTGATAGCTAAGGGAAAGTACCAGAGGATGTAATTAGAAATCTTAAACCACATTTGCAGCAGCAGGGATTTTACTACTGCTTTACCTTGCTTAGAAAGTAAGATATCAGCAATTGGGTGTTTTTTTCCCACTTCCCTACAAAAAGAGCTTTGAGGGTTAAAAAAAAAAAAAAGAAAAACCCTTCAGGTGGGAGGGATAGGAGGGAGACAGGTTGTAATGTTTTGGATTGCCTCTGGATAAGCTTATCACTCTCCATTATCTATAGAGAAAGCAGAGGGAGACTAGTGCTGTATGTGTCAGTATCTATGTTAAGTATCTAAATTCAGACAGTACAAATGTACCCCCTTCCTCTTAGTCGCTAGCAGATGTATTATGTTGCCGTGGTAGAGACTTGTCAACTGGAAATACTTGCTCTGGGGTGCTTCTAAGTGTTAGATCATTTCATTGTTATGAATGTGTCATAGGTAAACTTGTTCTGTTTTGTAAAACGTAACCTGTTCAGGAACTTATAGAGAATAAGGGTAGCTAACCATGTATCAGGACAATTAAAAGTTTCCATTTGGCAAGCAGCATCCATGCACAAATAAATATTTATGCAAGTAATCGCATTAAAGTAAACGGAATTATATCTGAGGCTAAGGACTTGAGAGGAATGGAGCGTTATTGGATGAATCTTTGCCAACAAGCTGAATTAATATTTCTTGGATGCTTGTCACGCTTTTAAATAGTGTTGTTTGTCAAAAAAAAAAAAAAAGAAGAAGAGGTGATGTACAGTTGTAAGCGAAGATGATCATGGTTCTAGTAACTATCAATAATCTGGTCTCTTTTGGAGAGAATTGGACACCACAGCTTCTCTGGCCCCACTTAAGAAATTTTATGTCCTGACGTCAAAGGGAGCTTTTACTGGTCCTTTCCCTCCAGTAGGGATGTTAGCAGTGCGAACGGTGATAAAAGGCCCCCGGGATTTTCAGTGAATGTACACCACTTCTCTAACCTTTTTTGGGAATGCAGAGTATACTTAGCTTCAGAACTGTTATTCTTTGGGTGCACTAAAGTAATATAAATATACAAGTGGAAGCCGATGGTTAATGCAAAAATGTTTTAGGTTTGATTTGTATGTCTGTGTTTTGCTTAAAGCGTGTTTTTTTTCCTGTTATTGATGGAAGAAATCTTTACTTTTAATTTAATTATCAGTTACAATTATTTCCTGTTGCTTCTTCAATGTTGTAGGTTTTGCTATTGGCATGCCTGTCTGCGAATTTGACATGGTTAAGGATCCAGAAGTACAAGATTTCAGAAGAAATATTCTTAATGTCTGTAAAGAAGCAGTGGATCTTCGAGATGCCAATGCACCACATAGTAGAGCCTTATATGTCTGTCCTCCAAATGTAGAGTCTTCACCTGAATTACCCAAACACATATACAATAAACTAGATAAAGGTAACATAAATATTTACTGTAGAAACGTAGTGCTTTTTCAGTGGTTGATATCAAAGAGTATAGCTGGTGACTTAGGTAAATCCCTGTTTTATGTATTCAGTGTACTGGATCAACATCTTGCACCTTGAGTTGTTCTTATTTAAGGTAGTTTAATAGTTTATAGGTTCAAAAGAAAACCAGCAAACTTTATAATTAAACCTTTTTGGTATTCTAGTAACTTCTTTAAGTATTGAAATGTAATTTGGTACATCAAGTTTTTTTTATGGGCAGAAACAGCTTGTTAGCCTTTCATTTTTCTCTGCATAAAAATACTTGCTCTGCTGGAAGGGGTAAAAGGTCAAATTTACGCTTGGATCAAAAATAAGCAGAATGCACATGGCTCCTTCCAGAAGTTGTTAGCACTCTGCCAGTTTGGGCTATTCTAGCTACTTTTGGGCTGCTGCTTTCAGTAGAATCGCAAGCAATTCTCTGTCTTTTTGAAACTGTGTGCTGAAAGTAGTGTACTTAAAACATTTTCACGTTTACTCTAGGGCAAATCATAGTGGTAATATGGGTAATAGTCTCACCAAACAATGATAAGCAGAAATACACCTTGAAAATCAATCATGACTGTGTGCCTGAGCAAGTTATCGCTGAAGCAATTAGGAAGAAGACACGAAGTATGTTGCTGTCATCTGAACAACTGAAACTCTGCGTCTTGGAATACCAGGGCAAGTATATTTTAAAAGTGTGCGGCTGTGATGAATACTTGCTAGAAAAATACCCACTGAGCCAGTATAAGGTGAGTAACATAATGGATTTCTTTTGAAGCACACTAAAATAATTCAAATTTGTGAGAGAGGAAAGTGATTAATTTTGTTTGGCTTGCTTTTCCATTAAACTGATCCGAAAGGTAGAAAGGTGGTGCGTTTCTCTTTAAACGAGTTGGCTAATTTGTGTGCGGATTTGTTGCTGTCATGTACTTGAAAAGAAAAAAAAAGTAATGTAAACTAGCCCAGTGTAATTTTTCTCCTTGGAATGAAGTAGTTTACCTCTGACGTTAGAGATAAAACAGTGGCAGATGCTTTCAGAAACATCCTCGACTTCTAACAGCAAGAGATGAGTTATGGGGCTGATGTAATGCAAAAATAACTTTGATCAGATATGAAATTCTGAAGCAACCATTGTTACTATTAATCTTCTCTCTTCCTCCTTTAGGGGTGGAAAAACGTGACAAACTATTTGTTTTCCTAGCGCTTACCTCAGTAAACTTTCTGACCTTATTTCAGCAGTAATAAACTTCCAGGACTGCTTAAACCATTGTTAAATCTTTCTGTCTTTCCTTCGGTGCCTGGGTTTTGTTAGAGCTGTGACTTTGACACAGAACTGCTGTCAGCAGAGCCTCTGAGCAGCTCCTCTGCAGTAGGCAACAATGTTACCCTGTAGATTTCCTGGCAGAGGCTGTTGCTTCCTCTTTGAGGAAGGTCTTGTTGTAATACACAGCTTCCATTCCTTGATCTGAAATGGTTGACAATCTACTTTCCCAGCAATGAGAAAGAGGAGGGGGATAGGGTACCCTGAATAATGGGGAAAGAAACTCTAACCTGTGGGAGCTGGGAACGAGTGGAAACATACGTGAATAGCTTTGCACGGTCCTCTCGGGATCAAGCACTGGACCTATTTGATCCAGCCTGGTTGCTTCAGAAGCATCCAGTATTACCTGTACCATGTTGCAGAAGAGCTTGCTAATTACAGTGGAGTGCTGGACCAGTCACAACACATTGTATTTTGTAGTACTGTTGCCAAAGTAAAAGCTCTCAGGACTCGGTCCTGAATGGGCACCGTACAGGGTTAAGGAGCTAGCTTGAGTCCATCAAGATCAGTGCTGAGCTGAAGCTGGTAAGTGCAACTGAAGCAAAAATGAGCGTCGCTGTCTCTTGCCTTATGCTCTCTACCTGTCACTGGGAGTATCATAGGCACCTGTGCCAGATCTGCACAGTAGACTAGTTCAGCAGCATGCTATGCAAAAATAGCTAAACTGCTCCCAGAAACAGCTCTAATCAGGAAGCAGTCTGTTTTGTTTGAGCTGCGCTGTGCCTGAGCAAAGCAGTCCTACCAGAAACCTGACCTGTCATTCTGCATTGATTCCTCTCTGTGGCACAGCTAATTCATGGTGCAGATAAACAGATAACAGTCAACTCTGTTCCCTGTCTCCAGTTCAGCTTTCCGTTGTTGTAGACAATATTCATATCTCAGCATCTGTATGGAGTGCTACTCTATGATCCTATCCAACAAGATACTTAAACTGCTGGATGTTATAACTGAAGAAGTTGTAAAGGGTGTTCACAAAGGGACAGTTGTAATAAGGGCTCCTTAGATATGCTTTTACATATTTTTATGAACACTTTTTGGTACTGTTTACCAAGAGCGTACAATTAAAACGTACTGAATTTTGCCTCCGTTTTCTTGCAGTACATAAGAAGCTGTATAATGCTTGGTCGCATGCCTAATCTGATGCTGATGGCTAAAGAGAGCTTATATACCCAGCTGCCACTGGATACCTTTACAATGCCATCTTATTCCAGGCGCATTTCTACAGCTACACCCTATATGAATGGAGAAGCTACAGCCAAATCTCTCTGGTCTATAAATAGTGCTCTCAGAATAAGAATCCTTTGTGCAACCTATGTAAATGTGAACATCCGAGACATTGACAAGGTGAGGCAAATGCTGTATGGCATCATACATCGTTTTCAGCGGTTCCTGGGTCCCCTCTTGAGTTTTCTGTTCCATATGCATGTATAAAGAGATGCGTTATTCAACACGTTAGAAAATTAGGCCACTCAGTTATTTAAATTTAATCACTCAGTTCTGAAAAACGTAGCCGTGGTTTAGTATCTGAAAACTTCTGCACATTACTTAAAAATGTGTGAGTTTGGTATTCAGCCAAATACTGGCTGTCTGATAGAAGCAAAATTCAGTTCATGTAGTTCACTTCAACTGAGTATGTAACAGGAAAAAAAAAAAAAGTCCGTGTTGTCTTGCATATTCTGTATAAGGATTATGTTTAAAAATGTATTACAGTAACTAGGAATAATGTTGTTCAAGGGATGCTGGATAGTGTGCTACTATCCTTGCTTTTGGGAAGGGAGGGATGGGGAGGATCAAGGGGAAAAGGCAGATAAGGTCTAATCCCATTGAAGTCAAACTGCAACCCTGACTCTGTAACTTTCTCAGAATGTGTCCGTTGGGTCATTTCTTGCCTTACAGTTTGACGCAAGAAGAATTGAGAGTAAACTCCAGTTTGTTTAGAAGTTCATTTTAAGTTGTTAATTGTATTGTTAAGAACTAGTTTTGCAACCTTAATGGAGGAAAAAGACCAAAATGTCTTTTCTAGAGGGTTAGGCACAGAATATATTCTGTGCTTCACACCTTGCAGCAAATGCATGGATTTGGGTTGGGGGGGGGGTTGTTGTTGCTGTTGTTGTTGCTGTTGTCTTCCCTGTGTTTACTTGACAGATATGTAAGGATAATGTGTTTTAATCAGTAGTACATGTTGATTGGAATGAAAACCTTGTTTACAGCAACCTTTGTAAGATAGTACTAATACCAGCACGTTTTTTTCAGATCTATGTTCGAACAGGTATCTACCATGGAGGGGAGCCTTTGTGTGACAATGTGAATACTCAGAGGGTACCTTGTTCTAATCCCAGGTAAACTAAGAATGACTAGAGAAAACCTGACTTCCAGGGCATCCTAAACGATAGTACTGAAGAAGTATAGGCTGTGTTTAGCATTATTAAGGTAGAGCTCCTTGCTGGGAATTCCTTGCCTTAAGTTTTGTAAGAACGTTCTTATATGTTGCTACTTTTAGAATTAATTAAATTCAAACACAAGTATTTTGTCTTGTAATATTGTATGTCATAGATTTGTCTCTTTGCCGAACAGATAAATCTATTTCACAAGTGTCTTCATAGTTGCATCGGAACCCCCAATATAGTTACTTGTTAATACCTTGAAATCAGCATAGCTGTGGGAGACTGAGCTCTTTTCTGACTGTGGCTCAGTACCAAGTGTTCCAGTTGCAGGTTCACAGTCTGCCGATGAGGTTGCACAGCATATCCTACAGCAAAGCTACTGCGTGTGGAGAGACGGGAACCGTTTGTTAACTTGGATGTGACTGCCAGCACTGGGCTGATTGTATTCAGTAAACTTGAACTGCCATGAATTTTTTCTGGAAAGATAAATCATGTGAACTTGAAAGTGCCTTTAAAGTGTAAAAGGAAGTTTTATATGAGCGTATGGAAAATATGTAGAGCAAGTATCTAAAAGGTGTTGACCTCCTGCACAAAACTGACTAACGGGAAGCCGTGAAATTTCAGGATCTGCTAGGATTAGATGCAAAATATGTGTTCAAAAAATAATTCTTGACTTAACGTTTCCTGTCAGACTTCATGTCTTTGGAAGTTTCAAATAATACTTTTTGCCTGTAAGTACCTCCATTTTCTTTAGGTGTTATGATTAGTGGCCCTAACAATATGTCCGGTTATTGAAAGATAGCTTCTCCCTCCTAGTTGCCCCAGAGATAGCTAAACTCTACTTACAGTTAAGTATACCTGCGTTAGAGGGAAAATCTCCTTGGAAAGTTGGTGAAGGGTGTGGCTTGAAAACATGAATATATAATCACACATCTATATTATAGGTAATGAACACATAAGAAAAGTGAATTAAAGCTTTTATTTGTCAATTTCTGTATTCTTAAGAGAAGGGCTTGAGGCAGTTACTTGCTTCTAGAATGCTGATTTTAGTATTGATTTAGCAGTTACTGACATTTTGGAAAATTAATGCTGTCCTTGGGAGCTGCTGCCTCTTCCAAATTTGGAAGTTCCTCTTCAGAAGCGCAGTTCTGCCAGTTGAGAGATTAGGTCTACTTTAAGATTAAAAATATATATAAAATGTATATTCCTGTAGAATCTATCATTGTTCTCTTATTACTGTGGTAAATGCAACAACATCTGAGTTATTTCAACAGTGCAGTTCTAGAGTTAACATGCATAACTGAGAGCAGAATGAATCCACTTGTTTTGCTTTATTATGGCTCAAACTACTTGAATTAATGATATTAGAGATTATAAGGTCATCAACTATGAAGAAACAGTGGCTATGCACAAGGCTCCAGAACGCTTGAGGAGTTACTAAAATGAAAATGCCTATGTTCTTTTCTGGAGTACCATTTTTCTAGTAGGCTAGAATCTCACGGGATAGCAAACCTACCATTCTGCAAGAAGAGGATTTGAAGAAGCCCTTACTTTCACAAATAAATGACACTGTGTAATATGTTACTAGTTACAATGCGATCCCTTGAAGAGGTAACGTTTACCGTGTATCGACTTCCACTGTGATTTTGCTCTAGGTAATGGACATCACATACCGCATTGCTGAAGGGATTCCTTGCATTTTAATTGTTCCAGTTACTTCTGTGCAGTTTAACAGCAACATAGAGTTAGGCAGCTATTTGGAAGGCGTCCTGTTGTTGCCACCAATTTTGCTTTTTCTTTCTTTATGCAGCTATAGAAGTATCATTTTGTCTCATTATTGTTGAGGAATCTCATAACGTTTTAGTGTTGATACTTAACAACCAGTCCCCAGTGTTTTAAGTTGGACTGTAAGTTAGTTTCAGTCTTTTTTATGTCACAGACCTGGAGATATGTACTGTAGGCAACAAAACTTGAAGATGACAATCCATACAATGATTCTCCTCAAATTTAGAAAAAAGGTTTGGAAGTTTTTGTTTTGTTTTGTTCAGCTGTCTAAGCCGCAGTTACAGAAGACTGTTCTCCAATCAAGAGAGATCATACATATATCCAACATATAATATATTTAGCAAAAACAAGTAGAAAGTCTGTACAGTGTTCAGTGCGTGTAAAATATGGTGTTGCAGGACGTTAGGAATATTGCTTTTGATTTCTGTATTAAGTTTCCAGCTAGGAAATATCTTTTTACTTTCTAGCAGTTCTAATACAGTTGGGTTCTGAAAGCTATGCCATGTTTTTTTCCTCATTTGCTTTTTTTTTCCCTGAGGTGAAAAATATTTCATGAGCTAAACTTCACATGAGTAACACATTAGTAACATGTATGCAAATCCATTGTCTTTATGATATACCTACATTGACAGTTGCAGTCAGAGGGTTTGCTGGAGTGAAAGTGAATGAAGCGAATATACCTGTTACTGAGTTTGAAAGAACTGAACTAGCGTAACTGTTCAAACAGTGTTGGTGGTAGAAGGCTAATCAGGGAAGTTCCCATTCTCAAAGGTAATAGATGTGGTCAAAGGCATATCAAAGGACCCTCTTCAGTAAGAAGACACCCTCTTTAGATAGATACAGTTCAGGTAGAAATATAACATAGGCTTTTTAGTGTAATTGTTGATTGCTTCCTGTTATCTTCAGTGCTCTCTTTTAACCTGTTTTTATTCTGCTTTTTAAATGTTACAGATGGAATGAATGGCTATCATATGACATGTACATTCCTGATCTTCCACGTGCTGCTCGGCTCTGCCTTTCGATCTGTTCTGTTAAAGGACGGAAGGGTGCTAAAGAGGTAAAACACAAGCAAACCTACCTAAGTCAAGTTTGGGAAGACAGTTGGTAAACATTGTCCTAGAAGTGGGTCTTAGTGATGTATTGGATTTAGATCTGATTCAAGTAATGATTTTTTTTTTCTTGTATACTATTCTGACTACCACTTTTTTGTGGTCAGAAATCAAAGAGCACTGAAAAAACCTTACCTATTCAACACTGTAAATCATATCTGTACTCTGTCACTGGACAAAATGATCAAGGTTAAATCTTTTGAAGTGTGAGTACTTTTAAACTTAAGTTTCTAAAACCAAAAGTTACTTACCTACTGATTTTAAAAGAGCCATATTTATACTCAGATTTAGAGTTGCTTTTAAAGTAAGCAGAATTTCAACATTTGAGGCAAGATCCCAAACAGTTGTTTTAAATATCTAAATATGGAGCTTAATTTTAGCCACCAGTGTTTTTAAATTCTGGCTTTAAACGTAATATGTACTATCTAGTTTTTGTCTATAACCAAGTTTTGTAGCAATAAAGTTACAAATCTTGAGTTACGTGGGCATGGTGAAAATGCTGGCAAATATTTGTAAGTGTTTTGATATCATTCTGCAAAATGACTGGCACAACATATGTTGGCACAGAGGTTGGGTGACGTGGTAATAGTGAATGAGAAGAAGAGCTGAAGAGAAAAATACAGTATCACTTCCGCAGCCTGATTTCTGCTAATCTGGGTATCTAATAACTCCCTCTTGCATTCTTAGTTCTCCTGGCTCACCAGCAGGGGTTTAATAGCAGAGATTGAGTTCCATAGTTTCGGCTGCCTTAGAACAGTAAATTCCAATATGGAAGTGGTATATTGATATGTGAAGTAAAGAAAAGTGGACCTAAACAAGTGTTACTGAAAGCAACCCAACACAACTTCATAAGCCTGCTTCTCTAATTATTTGCTCTCTTTGACAACTTAAATAGATCGACTGGCGTGGTGTTAAGAATAGCAAGATTATTTACTGTGCTGTTTTCCTGAATTCAGTTGCTGCTTCTTCCCTCCTCATCCCAAGACTGCTTGAAAAAGTAGCAACAGTTCATTCAGAGTATGCCTGTCACTTTTATTTTTATGGTTAGGCCTGCTCGGTTTTTATTAGCTAGAGTTTAAATGTGTGGAAAACAGCAGCTGCTTAATTTACCAAGTCAAAAGATTCTGATTTATCTCTCTACCAGATAGAACTTGGTGCTACCATGTATATATACTTACATTTAAAAAAAAAATCTTTACTGTTTCTTATTTGAAATTGTACTACTGTGCTGTAATTAATGGATGAAACTGAGAAATAATCATTTAATCTCTTTAAGGAACACTGTCCATTGGCTTGGGGAAATATAAACATGTTTGATTACACAGACACTCTTGTATCTGGGAAAATGGCTTTGAATCTTTGGGCAGTACCTCATGGGCTGGAGGATTTATTGAATCCTATTGGTGTTACTGGATCAAATCCAAATAAGGTAAGTACTGGCATGCAATCGTTTCCTTAGGACTACCTATTCAAAGTATGCTATATTCTGAATAGCATCATTCCACAGAAAAAGTAATCTAAATTTCCTTTACATAGGAAACTCCATGTTTAGAGCTGGAATTTGATTGGTTTAGCAACCCTGTAAAGTTTCCAGATATGACGGTGATTGAAGAACATGCCAATTGGACTATATCACGTGAACTAGGGTTTAACTACAGCTATGCGGGGCTGGTAAGGCAAACTCACTTTCCGAGATTAACTACTAAAATTTGAAAGTATTTGCCTTTTTTGAAGTGACAAAGAAAACTTTTTCATCGTGTATCCTGATTTATTGTAATAGAAGAAATCAAAATTTTGCCTGCTGTTTAACAAATGAGTAACATATTCTCTTTCCTTTATAGCACCAATAAAATGTATTAATGTTTCACTGATCAACCAAAGCACATTAAAGAGAACTGTCTTACCATGCGAATTTTTAGGGACTTTTTGGCATAATTAAATTAATTCAACGGCACTTGCTTGGACTTTGCAAAAGTTGTGAGTCTCCTTCAGTGATACTAAGTGATACCCAGTGATACCTTTTCCACCTAAACCTGAGAAAAAACTTCTTCCCTGTGAGGGTGACAGAGCATTGGAACAGGTTGCCCAGAGAGGTAGTGGAGTCTCCTTCCCCGGAGATATTCAAAACCCGTCTGGATGCGATCCTGGGCAATATGCTCTAGAGGACCCTGCTTGAGCAGGGAGGTTGGACTAGATGATCTCCAGAGGTCCCTTCCAACCTAAACGATTCTGTGATACTGTTTTTCTTAGCTGCAATTTCATGTTTGTAGGCAGGCTTTCTTGTGAAACCTAAGTGTGCTTGTAACTTCTTACTTGCTGGTTTACTTTTTACTGACGAGTTAGGGCCGTAAGTACTGTACTGTACTAAAGACATATTTTTTTCTTTTTTTTTTCTCCGTACTCTAAGGGAAGTATATCACTGAGTCAGGTACCTGCCTATGGTATATATTGTGGCTGAGGAGTGCTGCAAGGCTTGTAAAAAGTTTTTAAGGACAGCTGGTTTCTTCACAAACTGCTGTAATTCAGATGAGATCGTAAAACATTTGAAAACTTAAAGCCAGATCTTTGTCCGTTGGAACCGGTCAGCAGATCGTTGAAGGCGTTGAAAAGCAATCTTTCGAACGTTGGCCTCAAAGAAGACCTGAACACCTCTAGACTATTGAGTTGACTAATTATGAATATGTGCTGTTAAGTAGCACTGTAATTGCAAGTTTGTAAGAGATTTTCTTGTGTTTGAATGTAATAACAGTTTTTGACCAGCTGTGCCTTTGTTCTTGAGGTACTGAGCAACTTGGAGCAAATCCGAAGCTTGTTTCAGGTCTTGTATCAGAGTATCTGACAATACAGTTACATAAATACAGGATAGACTTCAAAGGTAGTATAAGAAGAGAAATACTGTAGCTTGCTGATGATGGTGTAGGTGTGGAGGAAAAAAAATCCACCAGAAGAAGAGTACAACGGTATTATCTGCAGCTGAGAATGGAAAACAAAAGCAAAGTAAGGAAAATATTACTGGGTTAAGTTTGAGGAAGCACAGGAGAGGTAAACATCAGAACATATAGTGAAAAATGGTGCAGTGCATAATTTCTACTGCTTTTTTGAAGAACTGTAGTTTCAAATGCAGATGAAGTTTTCAAATAGGGGTGAAACATATGCAGAGTGATTAAGGAGACTGTCTGAGTGTTGGTGAACTTATTCTGACTGTCTCGGGTTGAGAACTAAAGTTACGGGGTTTTTTGGTTTTGTCTTTGGCTTTTTTTGGTAAAATAGCTCCCTCATTACCTAGACTTACATACGCTTGACATGCTGTTTTGTTCTATATGTAGCTGAAAACAGAAAATGGTGAGGAGAATAAGCGAATAAGCTCTGACTTCAGTGGCAAAGTAATGATCAACTTACACTTGGAATTAAAAAAAAACAAATCTCAAATTATTGCCCTTCCTTTCCTGTGGTAATCTTCCTAATACGGTAGAAGGAGGTCGTGGTGGTTAAATATGGAGAAAGCGTATTTGCATCAATTGCTAACTTGGCAGGGAAACGGAGAAACTGGATATCACTGCTTTGTTCTCTGTCTCCTTATTCATACTGCTTTTCTTTCAACCCTCCTTGTTGTCTGCCAAATATCCTCTTACAACTCGTCCTTTCTTAAATCATTTTTCATTAAATGCTTGGTAAGTTTGAGTATCGCTGGTGATCTCTTCATATTGCATTTGTCCCCTTTATTATCTTCTTTTAATGTGTGGTATCTTCAGGACTGGAGCCAAACTTTCTATATTCAAGGACTATATGTATTTATGGCTGTTTGTAACATTAACTCCGTTTAGCGAGATAGAAGACAACGTGTTACACGTCCAAAATCAGATACTAGATGACGGCGTAGCAACTGGCATGTCTGAAAGAGGGAAAAATGCTTGTCCAAAATGTTCAAAATCCTCGAGGCAGTCACTGAAATATAGTTATGCTGTTTGTATCATAATGAAAATACTTATATAGAAATCATATTTTCCATTTAATCTTGAAACGCATTACACTGTATTAAAAATCAATTAATAAATACTTACCAGAGATGGTTTATAGAACCATAAATATTTCAAACATGAACGAATGATTTTGAAATATTAAGTCTAAGTTACTGTCTCACAGTTTGTAGAATTTCAGGTTTTTCTTGTTGAACACAGCAGGATAAATGCATTTTCCTAGTGGGCTTCACATAAACTATGATCTTTTTGATCCACTATGCAGGTACTTTTTATACTTTTTTAGCTTTCACCTACTATTTAGGATGACTTTTTCAGACTCAAAATAAATATGTACAATTTATCACTTGTTCAATATTAGCTATTTGGTCTTATGTCAGGAGTAGGTGATTGTAAGGAAGTCATTTTTCCATTACCTTCCTTCCATAATGACTTAGGATTGATTACTTTTTGCATTATATCCATTACCATAACATGTAGGAACATATTCTAGAAACTTTCCTATGCCTGCATGGTGTAGTCCTGAAGAGTAAGTGTAGTCCATGTGCTTCAAAACAGTAATCAAAAACCTGTTGGTGTGCTACGGTGTCACACTACTGTCAGAGTGAGATATTGAAGATCCTTTGAATTGGTAGATTCATAACTTAATTTTGGGAGATGTAAGCTCCCAAAGGGAGATGTAAGCTCGAAGGCCAGAATATTCTTGTCCCACATAATAGTAGTGAACCCATTGTGTGAATGCATAATTTATGCAGTTGAAGTAGAATACTTTCAGTCTTAAATATATATATATAATGTGGTGTCATCTGTCAGCTGTTTTCCACACTTATATGCATTCTTAGACATAACACCACTTCACCTTTTAAAGGGTGCCTTGATCCCCTACCTGGAAGTGTCAGGTTGTTCCTTTCTCTCCCCGCAAAAGTTTTTTTTAAACGCTAGACATACTGGAAAAACTCCCTCTATCAAAGACATGTGGATGTTTCTGATGCAAAGTATTACTTACACCAGTTGAAAATTTCCATCAAAAAAACTGGTAGGCAAAGCTTGGTTAATTTTTTGCCTAGTATCTTGTTCAATGTACTAAGTAGAAATTGTCTAGGAAGAAAGAGTATCAGAACAAGTCAAGTGCTGAGGTATTTCTTTCAGTATGATTTCCCAGTTCCTGAAGTTCTATGGTTTAAGCATTTTGAACTTGGAAAAGAGTTTGACCGTTCATTTTCTTATATATCATAAAGATATCAAAATGCGACTTCGTTTTGCAGACATTGTCCGGCCAAGTAGAATCTTTTGCATAGCTTCATCTTAAGCATCAAACTTGTTTATTACAGTTGTAGTAAAAGGAATAATACAGACTCCTTAAGATTGCTGGGGTTCTGCAGCGTCAGTTGGTTCGGTAGTTGATACGTTAGATCATTTAATATGTTACTTTTTTTAAACAAATACATTACATGAACTAAGAGATGGAAGTTACAGGAGAAAAATTGAACTTAGCACACGGACCATGAAAAATCAATTGGATTTAGTTCTAATCTCTGCCATAGGTTTGAGCTGGTTCTAATAAATGAAGTCTAAGATAAATTTAACTGCAGGGTGTACCAGTTCCCTTGGCTGTGCTTTTTGGGGAATATCTTAAGCTACTTCTGGGTAATGTGTCTGTCATTAAGCTTTCCTGCAGTGTTCTGCCTTTCCCTCACCTAGCTTTTTCCTTCATCTTCTGCTTTACCATTTATGACCTTTTTTTTTTTACCCCTTTCAGCAAATCTCAGCAATCTCAAAACTGGAGACAAAGCGACCTGTTTTACTTTGTGCAGCGCTAGGTGTTGTTATTCATTAGATGTCAACTGCTGCTATTTCCCCGCATAGCTGATTCACTTGAAATATATCTCTTCTTGTCCCAGCAGTGACTAAAAGTGGTAGTAGAAATCAAATCCCTATAAAAATCTTTCATCTCTTTCTTTTTTTTTTTTTTAAATGTTGCAAAACCTCCTTTCCAATAGAGGAAACGGCAAGATAACGTTGCATGACATAGGCTTTAAATGTTACTATGCTGTTAAAATATATTACTTCGTGTAAGTTGCGTGACAACAGAATGAAATGTGTGGAGACTAAAGTGCCTCTTTCTCTCTACAGAGTAACAGAATAGCTAGAGATAATGAATTAAGAGAAAATGACAAGGACCAACTGCGTGCTATATGTACACGAGATCCTCTGTCTGAAATCACTGAGCAAGAGAAGGACTTTCTTTGGAGCCACAGGTATTTTAAAAAAAAAAAAAAAAAGACCTTACTGTCACAGTTAAGCCTCACTCCAAATTTGTCATGACTGTCTTGAGTTCTGCTCCCTTGAGTTTATATTCTGTGTTGTTGGGGTTAGTGCTTTAGAAAAGGCACTTGAAGCGCGCAGTATTGTATGAGTTAGTTAACAAGCCCATGGAGACAAGCTGCTGAAGTAATTTACGTTCTCCCCGTTGCTGTAGTCTTACTTCGCTACATGTATCTAGGTACCACCTTATGATTTTAATGGGACTCTGCAGACAACGGAAGAAAAAGGTGCAAGGCTGAATAGATGTAGTAGGTAGTTATCAAAGCAAAATGACATTCTGTATATCTAAATTCTTTTTTCTCTTTTTTTACAGACACTACTGTGTAAATACCCCAGAAATTCTACCCAAACTGCTTTTATCTGTTAAATGGAATTCTAGAGATGAAGTAGCCCAGGTAACACAGAGCATTGAAGAAGTTTTCAGTTTGAAGAAGCTTTAAAATACATTATTTTAAAGAGAAGTCTTGGAAGTTAAGGATAAGTTATGCGTGTATGATATGTTGAGTGAAAATTTAGATGATTCAAGTTGCCACTGTAACTGGCTGATCAGTCAGTTTTTATATGAAATCTTTTGTGCCTGGTCCAGAAGAGATCTGTAGTTCTTGTTCTTAAGCTCAATCTAAGTCTCACGTTTTTCTCTTGGTGGTATTACTTGAATCCTTACTGTATTGCTGATTAGTCAATTACAATTAAATGTGAAGTTTTGTTTTTATTCTTTTTATAATGGATAAAATAACAAAGTCAACTTGCAGCTAATACTTAGTTGTTTTAGAGGGGACTGGCAAGTAAGCTGCCTCTACTCAGAAGTAGTTTCTGTGTCTGGTGATACCTTTTAACAGGTCTGTTTTACAGCTTCTTCCTAGTCAGTGTAAACGTATGACATGTGCCTGGACTTCTTGTCCACAGATGTACTGTCTGGTAAAAGACTGGCCTCCAATCAAGCCAGAGCAAGCAATGGAGCTTTTGGACTGTAATTACCCAGACCCAATGGTGCGAGCCTTTGCAGTTCGGTGTCTAGAGAAGTACTTGACAGATGACAAGCTTTCACAGTACTTAATCCAGCTAGTACAGGTACCCTTAACATATTTTAGTAAATTTGATGTCTTATATATGTATCTGATAACGGCAGAGGTTTAGAAAACACAATAAAAGCCAAGAGGTAATGAAAAAGAGGTTGTGAAAAGTATTTGCAAAAAGTACTTGCGCTACAGATAATATAGCAGGAGCTCTGAACGATGAAACCAAGCTCAATTTTGTAGTGCTGTGGTTTTTGGTGTTGATATCAAAAATGCCGAAACTCTGTAGCGATGCAGAACCGTTCTACTGACTGGAACAACAGCTATTCCAGCTGTCCGAACATACGGCAGAGCGTGAGCAGAAGCATCTTGTCAAAATTTTGACCAAGTTGAGGGTAAAATATTTGGTAACAGTAAGAGAAGCATCAGCTGGTAAGTTTCTGAAACACAGGCAACCTACGCACTCTGTTGGCAAATATCGTTCAAATCCTAACACATGTAAATATTAAGATACCAAGGTCAGTCGTTCTGGATTACAAAATTCAGTTTAAAACATAGGTTGTATTTTATTTAACTGTCTTAATCTGTATATCGTTCATAGAAACAGTAACATCTGTGGCTGATTTTTTTTTTTATTATTGTTTCTCTTTATCCTTGACTAGGTTCTGAAATATGAACAGTATTTAGATAATCAGCTTGTGAGATTTTTACTCAAGAAGGCACTGACCAATCAAAGGATAGGACACTTCTTCTTTTGGCATTTAAAGTAAGCTTAATATCTTGTTAAACGGTGGCGGGATTCTTACGAGCTGTAAATGAGAAATGGCTATGAAAGCTTGAAATAGTAAATATGCCTTTTTCTGAAAAGACTGCCCCTTAAGTGATATACGACAAACTTTCTTATAAGAGTTTGAATGCATAGTTTCGTAGTAGAAGGCACCCCTTGCAGCTGCACAAAATATTAATACTTAATTAATCTTTTACCTTGGATTTTTCTGTAATGGTGATTTTGCTAAAAGCAAGGAGTCCAACTAAGATATCTAGAAGCTTCCCATGTTATTAGCTGTTTATATCTATGACAAATTTCTGCTGTTTGGACATTATTTTTTGTGCCAGGTCTCCTACCAGTCTTTTTTAGAAAATGATTGCCAAAACAGTTATTTCTGAAAGTACGCCAGAAAAGCTATTGGAAAATATATGTTTTTAAAAAATGCCCATCTCTGCAGACTTCTCTGTAGAAGGCTCTAACACCTCAAAGCTTTGCGAACAGCTGAGGCCTACAGAAAGCCACCCAGTTTGGCCAGGTGATAAGAGTTTGAAAAATTACAGTTCAGACATGCTTATTAAAGACTTCATAGAGCTTGACAGCTATCATTTGTCAAGGTTCCTTCCTTACCAAGTATAACTTGGCCTTTTATAGTTCCTAATGTTGATAAGGCTAAGCATAAATCAGCCTGCACCTTACTGGATTGTATGTAGTTTCATCTAAAAATGCTGTTCTAAGCTAAGGTGTGGTCAGGCACGGAAATGGAAGCAAGGAACCTTTGTTGTGTTTTCAGTTGTTTCCTACTTTTGCTGGTACTTGGCAAGGGTAATAGAAGAAGCTGCCTGATTAACATGCAGGAGGGGATGAATTTTAGGACTGTAGGAAGACTGGGAGTAGGTAAGAACAAGGAAGCTAAAAGGGCCACAGACTGGGATTAGCTAAACGAGACGGGAGAAATGAGAGAGTTGAGCCTTGCTCTCAGCAAGAAACCTTGAGCTTGAACTGAAAGCTTGAGGCTAAGTATGGAGTCTCTGAGAAGCAGAGGTTTTGAATAAAGGCAAGTAGCAGAGAAGGACAGGATGGAGCAAGAAGGAAAGGGGTGGGCTGCAGAAGGAAAAAACATGCAAACTGTGCTGAATGAGTTGGAAGAGGTCTTGAAGCCTGGTCAGTCCAGGCAGAATAAGATGAGTTGCAGGAGGTCAACGTGAGTTACTTAACCTGAGAAGAAGGACCCATAAGCAATCTGCAGGAAGAGGTTACAGGCATAGCTTCATTCTGGCACCTGTGAGTGGTCTTGTCTTTAAGCTATAACTGTTCTTCCTCTCTGTGTAGGTCTGAAATGCACAATAAAACTGTAAGTCAGAGGTTTGGTTTACTTCTGGAGTCCTATTGTCGAGCGTGTGGAATGTACCTAAAGCATCTGAGCAGGCAGGTGGAGGCTATGGAGAAGTTGATTAACCTCACAGATATTCTCAAGCAGGAAAAAAAAGATGAGACCCAGAAGGTATTATAAGCTGTCCACATACCAAAACTGTTGCTCTTGAGTAGTAGGAATTACCAAAACTGTTTTATTTGGTTAACCAGAAGAGTACGAATACTGCTCACGTTAGTAGACAGTATGTTATCTTAGACAGTATGTTATCTTAGACAGTATGTTATCATAGACAGTATGTTATCTTAGACAGTATGTTATCTTAGAAGCTGTAATTTCTGTGTGCATTGCCATTGTCTACTTCTTAAGGCAATAGAACTAAAGTTAATGGTTTCAATTTGAGTAATATGTGGCTAAGTGGAGTTGCTTATGTTGGCACTGCACAAAAAACATGCTTTAAGCAAAGATGAAATCTAATACTTACCTTCACTTCCATGTAATCAGTGTTCTCAAAACACGAATGTGATTATTTATCAGGTGCAGATGAAGTTTCTTGTTGAACAAATGAGGCGACCAGATTTTATGGATGCTTTACAAGGCTTTATCTCTCCTCTTAATCCTGCTCATCAACTGGGAAATCTTCGGTATGGTCATCTTTTCTGAAATTTTTTCAGATATTTAAATAAATGCTGTCAGTACCTTCAAAGTTACCTGAATAAAATTTGTAGCAGACTAATTTGTAAAGAGTGAAGCAGTTTCAGAGTAATGCTTTAACAGACTAGAGGACAATAACTGTTTTTCTGTAAGGTGATGTGAACTACAGTCTTTTTTCCGTTTGTAAGGAGACACACAGCACCAAAGGAAAATTTACAATATAGCCAGGTCGTCTTCTGGGTTTAGCAAATGAGTAGCATTGCAGTTATCATTTTAAGTTTCGGGTTAAAATAAAATTTGCTGGTTGTGGGTTACTCGTGCATCTGTAATTTGATACTAGTTCAAGCAGTTGGAAGGAAACAGTGAGAATATAGTAGTATTACAGAAACATGGTATGAGAATGAAATTATGCCTATTTCATACAAATCTTATCTCTTTTGGTAGGCTTGAGGAGTGCAGGATAATGTCGTCTGCAAAAAGGCCCCTGTGGTTGAACTGGGAAAACCCAGATATTATGTCTGAATTGTTATTTCAGAACAACGAAATAATCTTTAAAAATGGAGATGGTAAGGCAAAAGAATTGTATTCCAAATTCTGCGTGTTTTTTCAATACTTACTTTGTTAGCCTACTGTCTAGTATTTTTTCTGAGCATATAAAATACATTTATTGAAGAAATTTTAAAAAATCATCTGAGCGAAGTGATATTATTTTCCAGAGAAATTTAGCATGAACGAATAAATATTTGTCTCAAAGGCATGTAGAAACTATGTGTGTTCCAAGATGCTTTTTGTGGGTTTGGTTGTTTTTTTGTTTTTTTTTTTTGAACTCTTTAAAATCTGTTTTCTATATGCTATTTTTCATATGAAAAATATGAGAATTTTCACATGCCACATTTTTTTTTTATAAGATCAGTTTATGGAGGTGGAAGCTGATCTCATTTAATATTTTGTTTTCATATATGAAAATATCTTCAAGATACTAGAGCTGTATCATAATATAGCTGGTTGACCTGGCAGTTCCGTTGTCATGTTTTTAGTATGTGTTTTTAAACAACTTTGAAATCACTACTACAAATTTATATTCATTCTCAACTATTTAAAAGCTGCTTTTCTTTCTTGTTATTGAGAGAATAAAACCTATGCTGAACGAGGCAAGCCTCATTTTCTTTAGAAATATTTTGTGAGAAGGAAATAAAATATGTTACAAAGTGTTCTTGTTCTGATGTTATGAAACTTGCAATCTCTTTATGTATTTGACTATTGCAGACTTACGTCAGGACATGCTGACGCTTCAGATAATTAGAATTATGGAAAACATCTGGCAAAATCAGGGTCTTGATCTTCGGTAAGCATTCTAAAGTAACGCTGTTCTAAACGTTTTTTGCGTTGCTTTGTTACTAGAGATTACTTCTGTTCTCCCAAGGGTAATAGATGTAACGCAACAAATAGGTATGTCTGCGCATGTCAAAGCAATTTGTAGAACCTTCAGCTAGCAAAACTCCTGGTTTCTGTGCAGTGAAGGTCTTATTTGAAAAACACTTTAGAGTCATTCAAGTCACTTACTGTGGGGGATCTATATACCAGGAATGGCTACAAGAGCTAACACTTAGCAGCCGCTCTACGGGCTGCTGACCGTATCTCTAGGATTTGCTTTGGACAAATCGCCACACTCACAACCCTGCTGTTGAGCGATGACTAGCCTAATTCTGCTCCCTCTTGTCCTGTGGCCCATCTTAAACATACAGCTCTTCCATGCCCTCTTGTCTCTATTAAATCCTGTAAACCTAAGCAAGCTTCATCCATTGTAGTTTAGTTCTTTTACTGCCTCCTTCTTGTAAACTAGCTGCAAAGCCTGCACCCTCAGTTGAAGTTTTAGGATTGGTGAGAGATCTTCAGGTTTGTAGAAGGATGCCCTTGTAGTTAGGATCTTCATTTCAGTAAGCAAAGTAGGTACTATCCAGTCTGATATGCATGAAGTTCGTCCACCTCAAAACAGTCCCTGGATATAGCAGCCTCTGCAGAATACCGTTCAGTTATAAACTAGTCGGCTTTTGGAAAACTGAGGCTGGCTAGGTAATGCTTCCAAATGTGTTTGCTGCACGGTCAATTTTTTTTGGAGGAGGTGGCGCTGTAACAAAGCTGCCTCTGCACTGTGGAACCAAGTATGTTCTACGATGCACCCAACAGTTCTCATTCCCTGATCGTGGAGACCAGAGGCCCCATTGGTCTGTATCATTTCTTGTGCATCTGAGTGACCGCTTCATCTCTAATATCGTGATGGGTGACAGAATTCTGGCTTTGTCCAAGAACATGGTTTGCAGTTACAGTGCACACCAGCACCCCACTGTCTTGACGAACAGCCGGCTGTTCGAATCTGCAAAATTACATTCTCCCTTACCTCTGGCCGTCATTGCTTTTAAAGAGGCAGCATGGATATTCAGGAGAGAAGCTGAATAGGTGTAAGTGACAGGCTGCTTTAAAAAAAAAAAAAAAAAAAAAAAAAGGACCATCGGCCAGCTGTCCCTCTGCTAAACTGAAATGAGTATGCAGATGAGGCAGCTGGTAGAATCTCAACCTACAGATTAACGGTGGAACAAAGAAAATGAAGATGTAGAAACTGTGCCTCTTCCCACTAGCGATCTCTCTTTGCTAAGTCACTAAACTGTCTGTCTCAGTGGGCTCCTCTTAGGGTACAGACAGTCTGTTTGCTAACAGTCCAAAGTTGATGCTACATCCTTAAGAACACAGACTGGTCTCACTGTTTTTCTTCGACCTCCAAATCAGGCCTTTATCCCAAAATGTAATGGTAGGTAGATATGAATGTACTTTATGTACTTTTAGCATGTGAAAATTAACTGTTGTTACTCCACAGTGGCGAAGCCCCTGTCCATGGCAACAGCAGCAATTGGCCCTGCCACTAGTTGCTCACTGTGCTGGTGTTCCGTAGATTCTCAGGTCTAGTACAAAGCCTTAATAGTTTTTTTCTACCTTGGTATCACAAACAACTTGGATATTCCAGCATACCTAGAAGGATGTTTTCCTCTGTAGGGATGACACTTTCAGCCTAAAAAGGAAACTTCTTTTCCACAAGACTAATGATAATACACCTAAAAACGTTAAAACAGATTTTTATATCCTAAAATCAGTAATGGGTGGCACTTACCTGGTAAGGATTATTAAACGTGCCTGATCCATGCTATTAACATGCTGGCTGTTTTAAAACCTGCTCCTTAGAAATTATTTTTCTCTTTCAGGATGTTGCCTTATGGTTGTTTGTCTATTGGTGACTGCGTGGGACTTATTGAGGTAGTGAGGAGCTCTCATACAATCATGCAGATTCAGTGTAAAGGAGGCTTAAAGGGAGCGTTGCAGTTCAACAGCCATACGTTACATCAGTGGCTCAAGGACAAGAACAAAGGAGAAATGTGAGATTTTCTTGTGTGTGTTTTCCTGTTCATTTACTCTCTTTGATGGAAACTTCAAGAGAACTAAAGTTCATCCAGTGGGAAATGATGTCTGTCTGTATTTTCACCTGCCCTCTTGTTTGCCTAGTACTCCTGCTTGTAGCGCCTTTAATGAGTTTGAGTTTGTTGCGTGACTTCTTAGTAAAGCCATAGTTGGATGTAGAGAAATTATTAAGATATAGCTTAAGTCGGTATTTTAGCAGTAGCTCATCAAAATAAAAACGCCTGCTTCAAAAGAAAGACAGTTGCTTTAATGGCTAGTTGACTGCTCTGTGATCTAACTGTAAATACTTCTGTTTTTCCAGTATGCTGAATTTCTTCCTTACTTTGTGTGATTCAGTGATAAAGCCCAGAAACTCTATACGTCACTGAGCGTAGATAGTCGAAGTTGGTCCCTCCCTAAAAAGATGTTCTTTTTGCACTTCTGTAGTATTAGAATATCTGTAGGAAAATATCTCCTTTGTTTGTTTTCAATAGGTACGATGCAGCTATTGACTTGTTCACACGTTCTTGTGCCGGCTACTGTGTTGCTACCTTTATACTGGGCATTGGTGATCGACACAATAGTAACATCATGGTGAAAGATGATGGACAAGTAAGATACCTTTCTGCAAGAGCATAGGCTAATGTCATCTCTCACTTGGATATCAGTTTGTTTAAAAGATCCATCCAAATTAAAACTAAATGAGCAAATTTTACTGTGATTTTGTTTAAACAAGGAATTATTAATTTTAATATACCATTCTGTCTTTCCAAGCTGTTTCACATAGATTTTGGGCACTTCCTTGACCACAAGAAGAAAAAATTTGGTTATAAAAGAGAACGTGTGCCGTTTGTCTTAACGCAAGACTTTTTAATAGTGATTAGTAAAGGAGCCCAAGAATGTACCAAAACAAGGGAGTTTGAAAGGTGAGCCAGCCCTTTTTATTAAGCATCTAACTTTCAGAGTATTTTGTGTCTAAAATGCACTTTGCTACTGGTGACCTTTCATAATCTGAAAATTTATTATTATAATTGGGTTGTAATGGTTATGTTGTAATTTAGTTGAAGATCAGCCATTCACTCGTAAATCAGCAGGTGGTCTTCATACAATGTCTTAGCACTCGCACAGCCTCCGTTTCATAAGACCTATCTTAATTTAGCTCTGCTGGGTCAGCACACATGTGAATAAAGATGTATTTTTAAAAGGCTGAACTTTTTTGTATTGGTGCTTAAAACAAAATCCTCTTGGGATTGCGTAACTGCACAAACTGAGACTTCTTAAGTGTCGCGCATGCTCACCGGCGTCTTGCTGCATGCCCGGGAGCCGTGCTGGTCACTCGACAATGCTTCTCTCTCCTGTGGCCCCTGTGATATCAGCTCTCCAGCTGGCGTGTGTAGTTTCTGACATTTTGCAGAATGTGCTAAGAAAGGAGAACTGAAAACATTTTCTGTTGCTGTAGTCTTTTCTATTACCTGTCTTTCCAGAGATTGGCTTTGAGACGTCCCAACTTTAATCTTAAATTCATTATGTTGTATGGAAAACAGAAAAGACAGTTTTTAAAATATTTTAATTATGTTGTCCATTTGAATGCTGCAGCAAAGCTTTATTTGCACTTTTGCTTTAACCTGACTTGAGTTAGTGATTTCAGCATAAACTTGCGTTCTCACCGGGTGCTGTGATACAGCACGTTCTCCAGAGTGTCTAAGGAGCAACAGTCACTAGTGGTATGCTACCCATAAAACTGCAGGCCACTAGGAGAGCTGGTAACAGAGAGCCAGGAGAGGAGGAAGCGTGTCTCAGTGTGCGTGTCACTGATGGTAACTAGGAAAGCTGTGTGCTTGCAGCGCAGAGGGACTCCTTGTTCAGGAGCCAGGAGAACTCCTTGAAATCTGAGGGTCCTCAAACTGTCAGTGACAATAACTAAAATGGCTCTATGAACTCCTGTAAGTGTGTATGTTGACCACTTGCATGAACTGCAAATGAGCATTTAGGATAGAAAGCCTGTCTTCAGTTTGACTGTGTATTTTGTGCTAGTTTGACATGACTAAGTCTTACAGAAATTAAGATCAACTGAACTGGAAGATGAGGACGCCTTTTTAAGCAACGTTGTGGTATTCTTGTTAGACTGAAAATGTCTAACTTTTGTGGTCTGGTTGCCTTAAACCATTTTTTTTTTTGGAGGTGAAAAAGAAATACGCATCTATTAAGACAATAAACTGAGTCGATTCTTTTTCTTCTGTAGGTTTCAGGAGATGTGTTATAAAGCTTATCTAGCAATTCGGCAGCATGCCAATCTCTGCAGAAAT